GGTGTCGAGCATGGGAGGGGTGGTGGGGTGGGGGGGGGGGGAAGTGCAGAAAATGACTGTGTACGAAGTCTATGTTTTGGACAAGCTCAGGCGTGTGTGACCAGGGTATCTTCCTCCCCTCCCCCTCCCCCGCTCTCTCTCTCTCTCTCTCTCTCTCTCTCTCTCTCTCTCTCTCTCTCCAAAAACATGTTCTCTTGGCAGTTGAACCGGCAGCGAGCTGGTCACCTAGTACATGAACGGTTCCGCCTCAGAGAATGTTCTCAGGCAAGCCCACACTAATACAGTACATGGTAAACCTTTTTTTTTTTTTTTTTTTTTTTTGATAAAAACTCCGTCTGTTGGTGGGGAGCAGCACCCGATTCACGATGATGCAAGATGTGGATCTTCAAACAAACGCATGTTTTCATCCAATTGAGACCTGCCTCAAGCTCATACCATACATAGACTTTTGTGCAATTCGACGTGCCCGTAATGATACAGAAAATGCAAATTGCACACAATCATGTGAAACACAAAATGATGCAATGTGCGATTCACACACAACGGCATGACACCTTCAAGACTCAAGATCATGTGCTCTCATGGAAAGACAATTCCAATGAATGAACTTCCGAACGCATTCTTGCAGGCAAACTCACTTTGAGAGAGCACAGGGTGAACACGCTTCACAATGAAGCAACATTTAAATTTTAAACCACCAGTACTTGGCCCAGCTATCGCCCGTGCAAAAAAAAATTAGAGTAGAAACGTTTCTAGTCGGATGAATTTGGCCGCTCCTGTAGTGGCCCATACGTACGTACATTTCATAAAATCGTGGGCTTCTTTTCCTCTTTTCTTTTCTTTTCTTTTTTTTTTTTTTTTTTTTTGCACAAACAACCCGGGTGAATGCTAGGGGTGCTGGTAAAAGCAGTCACCCCTAGCACTTCCGGGGAGGCTCCGTCTATTGGTGGGGAGCCTGCTCGAAAGCGGGTCCAGCGTCCCCCAACATTTAGATTGTTTGATCAAGCTATAAGCTGATATGCAGATGTGATGTTGGTCAGCCTACTAAAATCGTGGCTTGTTAATGGGCACAACTTTAGGTCCTTTAGGAAGTACTGCAGTGGTTTAAGTCACCCACACAGCTACATAGGCCTCCAGGCCCTCCACACATCTGCTTTCATACAACTTAAACCTACGTTGGGCTCGTGGCCATCCACTTTTATGCAGATTCTTCATGAACATCATCGACCGTAACCTTACAGCGTGCAAACCAAACATCCAACACGTGCTTTCATGCACATACAACTCGGACAAAACTTTTAACGAGAACTTTTCATGCAAGCTAAACCTCCACCATACTCTAGAACACAAAAATACCACTTAGGGCATATCCTGCCCTGAGCTTACACTATCAAATGCACTCCTCTCTCTCTCTCTCTCTCTCTCTCTCTCTCTCTCTCACAAACATTTGGCAGGTGGTGTCATGCAGGCACAATTCCGACACAGATTAGAACTCTCGGCTTATTTTTGATATGCGTCATTGTCATTCGGCCACCGTGTCCGCTGCTTACACCGGGGCTAAGTCCCACTAGCAGCGTTGAGCTACCTCAACGCCTGAATCTGGACGTGTTTGTGGAGACGTGCAGTTCAGGAAACTCAACACTATTTCTGCACATCTCCGCAAAAGCGTCCAGATTCAGGCATTTAGGTAGCTCAACGCTGCTAGTGGGACTTGGCCCCCGGTCTTCCTGAAAAGACTAAGGGTCAGATCCCACTACCCTGGATTATTCATTTTTGACCCTCGATTACGAAGATCAACGGTCAGACATGAACAATAGGGGGGCTAGTGGGATCTGGCCCTAAATGACCTGACCCCTATGTACATGACAGACAGTAGCACAGACCCTATTTGCGCATATTTCAACCAACCGGTCCCAGTAAAGCAAGCGTCACCAGAGGCCATCTCGTGAGCCTGGCAGGAAAGGAACAAATCACCGACTCATCAGGAGGCTGAACATATAACCCTATTTGACGATATATATAACCCTATTTGTAGCTCGCACCACATGCGCAAAAGGAGAGTGGATCTATGTTTTTTTTTAGTGGATCTATGTTGTTCCGATGGCGCAAAGGTAGAATGGATCTATGCTGTTCCCTTTTTTTTTTTTTTTTTTTTTTTTCAAAAAAAGCCCAGGGTGTTGTAGAGGCAACGATCTATGCTGTTCCTACGGTCGTCATGCTGTTGTTGTGCTAAACATTTTATTTATACAGGATTTGCATCGCCTGTGGGTTTAGTATGGCCCCGCCGCGTCCTGACGGCAACGGCCTGGATTTATTTTTATTTTTATTTTTCTTCTGGATTTCTTGGCCATCAGTCAGGTTTCCTTTGTTCGCTCGCACTGCCTGCCTCGGCCTTCCTCCACGCCTTGTGTGGTATATACTACATATATCAGTGCAAGTCTACTTTTTTTTTGACGGATGGTTGCCCTTGAGTCAGTGAGGGTCTACCCCCACTAAAGTAGGACTATCTTCATTCAATCTCACAGCATTTAGGGCCCCTGATCCGTGGTCCATCGGGGCACAAGAAGTGTTGGTACTATTGTATTGCTGCCTTGCGGCCCTTATTAATAAAAGGGGAACTGTTTTTATTTTTGTAAAAACGGAGAAGGAGGTGGGAGAAGATTAGAAAAAAGGAAGGCAAAATTTGCAATAACAAGATCCTGTCCTCTTTGTAAAATAAATACAAAAAAAAAGAAAAGAGGCCAAGGTGGGCGCTTGTAGGTGGAGCAGAGCGTGGCAAGGCGACCATGTTTTTCCTATCTCTGTTCCGACCAGGTGACAAGGAGGTCCAAGCCTGCCTACAGAGGAGCAGGTAGTTGTCCTTCTCTCTTGAGTTTTTTAATTTATTTATATATTGTTATATTATTATTATTATTATTATTATTATAAATTTATAATTATTACCCCGATTTTGTTTTTTCTACCCTTCTTTTTTTTTTTTTTTTTTTTTTTTTTTTTTTTTTTTTTTTTTTTTTGTTTGTTTGTTTGTTTGCGTTCTTGCAGTTAGATGGGCGGACAGCCAATAACTTCCCCCCGGCTATTGAAGGGGAATCATCGTTTTTCTTTTTTTTTCTTTTATTATTATTATTATTATTATTATTATAAATTTATAATTATTACCCCGATTTTGTTTTTTCTACCCTTCTTTTTTTTTTTTTTTTTCCTTATGATATCTGTCTCTTATACACATCTAGATGTGTATAAGAGACAGTTGTCTAATGTTGTTTCCCCCATTCTTCTTTTTTTGCCCCTTTGTTTCTTTGCTATCCATTAAGAAAGCAAGAGCCGTCTTTGAGTAATTGAAATAGGTTTTGTTTAAAAAAAAAAAAAAAAAAAAAGCCGAGAGCCGAGTTATCTTGGTTAGACACAGTCCCCGCCCCCCGTCCCTCGCCCACAACCCCCATTAACAGATCGGAACCTTTTTTTTTTTTTTTTTTTTGGAGATCGGAGCATTTCTTAGTCAGGGAAAAAAAAAAAAAAAACTTGGTTAGACACAGATGACGTCAACAGTGCAATGTTTTGTGTTGTTCCCACAGCTGACCGAGAGTCATTTCTGTCGACATCATTTTTGTTGCCGTCAATTTTATTTCACAGGAATGGGAGATGACTTTGCCTGTGTTGCCTCAGCCGAAAAAAATGTCGCTGTCATTTTTGTTGCCGTCAGTTTTTTTTTCACAGGAATGATAGATGACTTTGTGTTGCTGATGAGATTAAAAAAAAAGATGCTGAGAACGACGACGATGATGAGGAGGAGGGAAGAGGAGGAGGAGGAGGACAAGAAGGAGGAGGAGGAGGGTAAGGAGGTTTAAGATGAGGATGAAGAATGATGAGTACGATGATGATTAGGACGACGAAAGTGCTGGTCATAATGATGAGGATGATGACGTTGATGATGATGATGAGGATGATGATGATGATGAGGATGATGATGACGATGATCAGGTCGTTGACGAAGAAGGCGGGAGATGATGATGATCATCAACTCATTATGATGACCATGAGGGGGGGACGTTGATGGCTATCTCCAGATTAACGATGATGATGATGATGATGATGATGATGATGATGGGGAGGAGGAGGTTACCAATGACGATGCAGACAGGGACAATGATGATTGCGACGACAACGATAATGATAATGATGATGACGAGGGGGAGGAGGGGGGAGGAGGGGGAGGAAGGGGAGGAAGGGGAGGAGGGGGAGGAGGAGGAGGAGGAGGAGGAGGAGGTTACCGATCACGATGCACACAGGGGCAATGATTATGACAACAACGGTGATGATGATGATGATGACGATGATGATAACGATGACGAAGATGCTGACAAGTGGCATGATGATGATGATGATTATGAGGAGGAGGAGCAGGAGGAGGGAGCAGGGGGAGGGAGCAGGGGGAGGAGGAGGAGAGGGAAGAGGAGGAGCAGGGGGAGGAGGAGG